GTGCCACTGCACTCCAGTCTGGGCGACAGAGTGAGACTCCAATTCAAGAAAAAAAAAAAGAAAAGAAAAGAATGCAAGGAATTGGTTTATGTTTTTTTGCTTTTTAATGTCCCTGCATCCTTTCTTTCCTGACAGAAAGCACTGGCTTGTCATAGTGGTAGGGATGGCTCCAAAGGGTAAGAGACAGTAACCAGTTCCAACCTGTTCTTTTCTGCAAACAGGAAAAGGTCTTCGCTTTTTTTTTTCTGGAGTCAGAGTCTCTGTCACCCAGGCTGTAGTGCAGTGGCACACTGCTCATGGCCACCGCAGCCTGTACCTGCTGGGGTCAGGCATACCTTCCGCCTCATCCTTCCAAGTAACTGGAACTACAGATGTGTGCCACCACACCTGGCTAATCTTTTTTTTATTTACTGTAGAGATGAGGTCTCATCAAGTTGCTCAAGCTGGTCTCGAACCCATGGGCTCAGGCAATCCTCTTTGCCTCCCAAAGTGCTGGGATTACAGGCGTGGGCCACTGCGCCCATCCGGTCCTCAGTTCTATATCCACAGGTTCATCAACTTCTCCCTCCATCTTGTGTGCAGAATAAATGTAAATTCCTACCATCAGACCAATAAATAACTGCTTGTCACCACCACCATCTTCCCTACAAGTAGCTACTAAATATGATAAAGAAACTGCAGCAAATACAATAAATCATCATTAAGGCCTTAAATAAACTCATTCTGTTTGCTTTGGGTTTTAATTTTTTCTCAGTTTCTTTCAATAATTCTTTCGTGTTAATTTGGACCTTGTAAGGAAGATTTCAAATCCAATAAAAGTATATTTGTTTATCCAGGGAGAACTTGGTTTTTCTCCTAACAAAAGATTTCAGTTAAGTTAAATAATTGTACAATTTAGGCCGAGCGTGGTGGCTCATGTTGAGAAAATTGCCTTAGCCCATGGGTCCGAGACTAGCCTGGGCAACTTGGCGAGACTTCATCTCTACAATAAATCAAAAAATTAGCCAGGCATGGTAACATGTGCTTGTAGTTCCAGCTACTTGGAAGGCTGAGGTGGAAGGATCACCTGAGCCCAGCAGGTCAAGATTGTGGTGGTCGTGAGCATGTCACTGCACTCCAGCCTGGGTGACAGAGTGAGACTCCAATGCCAAAAAAAAAAAAAAACTCTACAATTTAATCATAAAAAATCAGTAAAGCATTTGTGTTTGGGTCCTGTGGGTGTCGGTAGCCCGTGCCACGGGAAGTAAGGCAAAGAACTGCAAAAACCAAGTAACAGTTTTATTCACATCCAAAAGGGACAGGAACCGCGCTAAGAGTTAGTGTGGTAGTGGGTCTGAGTGCAGGGTCTGTTTAAAGCTAGGGCTTTTATGGGGAAATAGGGGATGGGTAAAAGTTTCCTTGCAGCTGCATTGTTAGGCACTGAAGACATCAATCTAGTGCCTTCAGGTTGTCAGGGCAACATACATTTTGTTACTCCAGGTGGTGGTCTGGTGGGTAGGCAGGGAAGACTGATCACAATAGTTAGGTCAGCTTACTTTCTCATGCCTAGAAAACAAATGTTCAGAATAGGGAGGTATAATCAACACAAAGAAATAGCTAGGGGCTTATAAGCAATTATCAGTTTTTACTTCCGGACAACAGGTTCTGTGAGCTAATAGGAAAAATCTAAAAACAAGCTGCTGTTTTAAGCAGGAATAAACTGAGCTAACTTGCAATGGCTGCTTTCTATTAACTAAAACTACCCCATCTTAACTTTAAAGCAAGCATCGCCATATTAACTCTTTATTTTATTTTATTTTTTTATTATAAAGATGTGGGGTACAATTCAGGGTTAGGTATACAAACATCGATTATGCAGGTACCCGCCATATTAACTCTTAACCTTTTCAAGTTGTTAACTGAATTGATTCAGATCGTGTTCAATTGCATAACAGATGCAGTCTAAGATATGTCACACAAAAGGTGAAGGAATAAACCATCTTAGAAACAATGTTGACCCTCTTAAAGTTGTGACATGGACTACAAAAGAAAATGACGGTCTGAAGTTGAAGAGCCAGGCTGACATTTCTCACTTCTTTGGGGCATGTGCATAGGTTCTGCTTGAATTTTTAAATTTCAGTGAAACATATTTTTTGAATTATGATATTCTGAATAACATTAGTATTAGGAGAGCATTATTTTTAAAAAATTATTTTTGTAAGATTTGTTACATTCTTTAAATGATTTTTTAAAATCCCATTCAGAGGCTTAATTTTTTTCCCTGGTACACAAAACCACCAATTTTACCTTAGTGTTCCAGGCATGGCTTGTTTATTGATTGATTGATTGAGACAGGGTCTCTGTCACCCAGGCTGATCACAGCATACCATAGCCTCCAACTCCTGGACTCGAGTGATCCTCGTCTCAGACTCCCAAGAGATTACAAGCACGCGCCACTACACCTGGCCAATTTTTTTTTTCAGTTGGAGTCTCACTCTGTCACCCAGGCTGGAGTGCAGTGGCATGCTCATGGCCACCACAGCCTCAACCTGCTGGGCTTAGGCAAGCCTTCCACCTCAGCCTTCCAAGTAGCTGGAACCAATGCCCAGCTAATTCTTTTATTGTAGAGATGCAGTCTCACCACGTCACCCAGGCTGGTCTCGAACCCCTGAGCTCAGGCAGTCCTCTCGCCTCCACCTCCCAAAGTGCTGGGATTACAGGCATCATGCCCAGCTCCCGCCAATCATTTAAAATCTGATTTTGAGCAAGTTCCATGGGTATTTTGTTGCTTGAGACATTAGAAAGGAAATATATAAATATGTTAATTTTGTACTGCACTTTTTATATTTGATTTGCTAAGAAACTCACAGGTTGTTATGTTCTCAGAGTTACATTTTTATTATTTGTTAGGGCACACTCTCAGCGGGGCCTCCAGAATATGAGGTCAGGCCTGCCGGGGATATGGGTGTCTGGTGTGCAATCTGGTGCCCCAAGAAAAAGGCAAAGAATTGCACAGAAGTTACACTGGAAAATATAGTTTATTTAGAAAGTAAGTTAGAGGGAGAGAGAGGAGATGCACCTCCCCAAAGTAGGGGAGGGTGCCAAAGCTTAAGCAAGGCTATGGCCATGGTACTTTCATGGTTGAGTCCTTTTAATCCTTTCCGTAGATGGGGGAAGGTCATTAAGTTGATTGGGTGGTGGTCTGCTCCACATCATCACGAAGAGGCAGGTAAGTGCAGGTACAGACTTCAGGTGATGGACAGCAGGCAAATGGGTGAGTTAGTCACGTGATTGCTGCCATGGTGATAGGCTAGATGGGAGGAGACAAGGAGAAGGGTTTTTTCTGCAAAAGGCCTGTCAGACATTCCAATCCACAAGCTCTTTAGCAAAAAGGTGATCTTATTCTCATTTCTATGGCTTTAGCCAGCTAAGGAGTGATCTTTGACTTTCTGCCTTTGACAAGGAACCTGAAAGTTCCTTAGAGATTATGCTAAACCATGAACTGAAATGTTGGGCTGTCCTTGTCTTGCATCTGATGGAGATTTGCTGAGGGGATGGGGTAGGCTGCCAGCTTGGCCTACAGTAAAAGGTCTAAACGCTTCCTGAAATCTGCCTATCGAGGACTGGGGGGTGGATGGTGGACATGGCAGTTCATCCTAATATTTTCTAGACTGTTTGGTATATTTGAAAAAGTTTAACTTGGCAAACACAAGTGCTTGGAGACATCAGAATCCACAGGGGGAGGAGATTCACTTTGATTGGGTGTTGCTGAGAAGCCTGCGTGGAGGAGGCGGGAACTGGAGTAAGGTGTGAAGAAGCTGTACATTCCCCCAGGGTAGAGCACTGCATCCTGGCAGTCAGCACCTAGCAGAAAGGAGGGCAGAGGTAGCTGGAGTTGAGAAGAAAGACCGGAAAGAAAATGAGGCTGTGCAGCCCCTTCAAATCCACTCACTTCATTTCTTCATCATAGCCTCCAATGCTACTTTTTTCTCTTAGAGGTGCTTTGTAGGTCACATCTAAGATCTGAGGGAGATACATGCTGACTTTGAAAACTACTTCTTCCCCAAGTTAATGCATGTGATTTTGTGCTATTTATTGTTGAACAAAGGCAGAATTTTGTGTAGTCAGACAGATCTTTAGGTACCCTTATAGAGTAAAATCCCACTGACTACCGTATATGAACTAGTATTGCTCAGTACATTTAATCAGCGTTATGTCCTGCAGAAAACATAATGCTCTCCTGAGGCTCAGAGGGCACAAAAGACACTTGAAGACACTCTGTCTGCACCTTATGTGGGTCCACTCATCTTACAAGGGTTTAGACAGCATTAAAAAAACACTTGATGTGACACCCTTGTGAAAAAAACCTTTTAATCACAAGAAAATAGATATAATTGAAAATGATGAATAAAAATATTTTATAATTCTTTGAAATTACTTATTTTCAGGCTGCTTTGCCAAAAACATGCTTCATCACCAAACAACACTCCAAATGGTAAGTTTCTAAAATTTAGTACTGTGTTAAAGAAAGGTAAACATTTAGGTAAGAAAGAGAATAGTCAGATTTACTAGTCTCATCGAAATAAAATAAAAATTTTTGAACTAAAATGTTACATACCTGTAAAATGGCCAACTTCCGTTTGCACTATGTTTGTCACTGGCTGTCTCTGTGAACAAGACCTCTCCAGGCTTTTCTCTGGCATCTTTATCCTCACTAAACTCACAGAACCAAACTAAGACACAGTAAAAAGTTGTGACTTTTGTGACTGCTTCTCTTCTACAGGGATATTAAAACTTTCAGTAGATAAGATTCTTGAAATGCTGCACATTCCCTGAATGAAAATGTCCTAAGACTGCACAGTTAGCATTTCAGTTTTAATTCAGGCAGCCTGGAGCCTGGCTAGCTGGAGTTACGGGCTACACTCATTCTTGCATGGCCTTGGTGCACTGCTAGAACATTAGTGTCTTAGCAGCGCCACATCTGAAATGTTCACTGTGACCTAGAGTCAGGGCCTCTTTGGAAAAAACTAGTTCAGCATGGTGCCCACTGGTAAACAACACTCTCTAAACAGTTTCTCTGCCCTCATTTTTCAGTCAGTACCCTTTTAACTCATCAGGAAATACTATAAAAAGTCTTGCTTTGGCTGAGCGCGGTGGCTCATGCCTAATAATCCCAGCACTTTAGGAGGCCAAGGTGAGAGGACTGCCTGAGCTCACGGGTTTGAGGCCAGCCGGGGCAACTTGGCAAGACCTCGTCTCTACAATAAATAAAAAAATTAGCCAGGCGTGGTGGCACACACAGCTACTTGGAAGGCTGAGGCAGAGGGATCACCTGACCCCAGCAGGTCGAGGCTGCGGTGGCTGTGAGCGCGCCACTGCACTCCAGCCTGGGCGACAGAGTGAGACGCCGACTCAAAAAAAGTATCGCTTTAAATCTTTGTCTACTGACAGGGAAAGATGACAATAATGCCTTAATTTTTAAAAGAAGATTATAACACTGTAAATTCATCCTCTTTTCAGAGGAAATGGTCATTTCTTTTGAATTTTTCCAAAAATTTTCTCTTCGGAATGAAGAGAGGCACTTTAAAAAAAATTTTTTATTTTAAATATGTGGGGTACAATTCAGGGTTAGGTATACATTATGCAGGTACCCTTGTTGATGAGGCGTGCCCCCCCCCACACGCCCTGCAGTTTCCCACGACTGCCAACCCCTTTCTTCTAGTATTATGATAGTTGTTCAAGATCTGCTGATAAGTGAAAACATGTCATACTTGGTTCTTTGTTTCTGCGAGAGATCACTCAGTATCATAGCCTCTGAGTCCATCCAAGTTGCTGCGAAGTTCATAATGAGAGACACTTAATAAAGCAGCAGCCAGGCTTGCCTGGGCTCAGAATCCTGTGATGTGCCACCCCTCACACTGGACCCCAGTAACGGCAACTTTCTGTTCTTGAAGGAAATAGACCATTCCATTAACAACACATAGTGACTGCAACAGAAAAAATAACAGGGGTTATCATCTCAGAGATTTGAAGGTAAATTGTAAAAAATCCTCTTAATTCAGAGTTATTGTAAGCTAAGTTTTTTTCACTTTCTGTGACATTTCATTAATTGTTTCAGCTGGCAGAAAATGCAGTATGACGAAATGACAATTGCTAGAAAAGGTGAAAGTGCTATATGCATTATTTTACTAGTTATGTTCATCTACCACTAAGCAAGTTCTGAAAAAGCATGAAGTGATCTATGATGAGGTGCCCTAAGTCAGACCAATTCCTTCTAAAATGTTTGTCTTATTCTTATACGCAATTGTGAAAGTTCCTTTTCTTAAGAAATGCAAGGAAGCAGGACTGCTCGATTACTTATTTGAAGAAATACTGGACAAAGTTCATTGCATTCAGGAAACACTCATGTGTGAGACTACTTCAGAATCAGGTACTGAAACAGCCTTATTTCTATGTTTAGACTTCTCACAGACAGTGAAGTAAATCAAAACCGTGAAGGAAAAAAAAGGACCCATTTTCTATCCATGGTGTTTCTTTTCCTTCTTTACCTCATTCCTTAATAAAAATGATTGTACCAAATTTATCATCTTTTATAAATCAACAAGATGTGGGCAATTCACAAACTCAGTCAGTCAAAAGTACCCTGATGCCCTGAGAATTGTGACACATTTTCCAGCAGTGTGTAACACACTGGCCACTAAGGGAATGGGCCTGTTCTGAGCTAGATTTGGTCACACATGTGCCGCTGCTGCCCTGAACTGTTGCTAAGATCCAAGAATGGGCCAGACACAGTGCAGCCTATAATCCCAGAATTTTGGCAGCCCAGGGATTCGAGCAACTTAGTGAGACCTCATCTCTACAATAAATCACAAAAACTAACCAGACACGGTGGTATGTGTCTGTAGTTCTAGCTACTTGGAAGTCTGGGTGGAAGGATCGCCTAAGCCCAGCAGGTCGAGGCTGCTGTGGCCATGAGTGTGCCGCTACGCTCCAGTTTGGGCAACAACAGTGAGACTCCAACTCAAAAAAAAAAAAACCTGGGAACGGTGTTACATTACAGTTTTGATCTGGCTCCAGCTCTTTGTCTTAAGAAACCAAGTGTCAGCTGGGTTTGGTGGCTCAGCCTGTAATCCTGCGCTTTGGGAGGCTGAGGTGAGTGGGTTCGAGACCCGCCTGGGCAACTTGGCGAGACCTCATCTCTACAATAAATCAAAAAATTAGCCGGGCATGGTAGCACACGCCTGTAATTCTGGCTACCTGTAAGGCTGAGGTGGAAGGATCGCTGGAGCCCAGCAGGTCGAGGCTGCAGTGGCCAGACTCCAGTCTGGGCAGAGTGAGACTCCAACCCCCCCCAAAAAAGAAATGTTTTGATTGAAGTTTGGTTTAGTTAAATAAGAACTCTGTTAAGGAAGTTCCTTTGTTTTTGTTTTTGTTTTTTTGAGTGGGGTCACAATCTTGCCCAGGTTGGAGCACAGTGACACAATCACAACTCACTACAGCCTCAACCTCCTGGGTTTAGGCAGTCCTCCCACCTCAGCCTCGTGTGTTGCTTGGACTACAGGCACGTGCCATCACACCCAGCTAATTTTTTTTTTATTTTTTTGTAGAGATCAGGTCTTACTATGTTGCCCAGGCTGGTCTCAAACTCCTCGGCTTAAGCAACCCTTCCACCTCAGCCTCTCAAAGTGCTGGGATTGTAGACAGGAGCCACAATGCCCAGCCTAAAAAACCTATTCCTTTTTTTTTTAATTGGAGTCTCACTCTGTGGCCCAGACTGGAGTGCAGTGGCCGCTCCCGGCCACCACAGCCTCGCCTGCTGGGCTTCAGCGATCCTTCCGCCTCAGCCTTCCGAGTAGCCGGAATTACAGGCATGCGCTACCACACCCGGCTGATTTTTTTTTATTTATTGTAGAGATGAGGTCTCGCTGCCCCTATTTCTTAAAGAGCTCTTTGAGAAGCTGAAGTTCCATTTGTATGTACACGTATACAGCTACTTAGCCTTCTTTTTTTTTTGAGTTGGAGTCTCACTCTGTCACCCAGAATGGAGTGCAGTGGCTGCTCCCGGCCACCGCAGCCTCGACCTGCTGGGCTCCGGCGATCCTTCCGCCTCAGCCTTCCAGTAGCTGGAACTACGGGCGTGCACTACCACACCCAGCTAGTTTGTGATTTATTGTGGAGATGAGGGCTCACCAAGTTGCCCAGGCGGGTCTCGAACCCGCGGGCTCAGGCAATTCACTCATCTCAGCCTTCCAAAGCGTGGAATTACAGGCTGAGCCACTGAGCCCAACTCATACTTAACCTTCTTAAAACTTGAGGCCCGAGCTCAAGTTATAAGCAGCTTATTTTCCTTGTAAAATAACTATACTTAAGTTTTTTTTGTTTTGTTTTGTTTTGAGTTGGAGTCTCACTCTGTCGCCCAGACTGGAATACAGTGGCCGCTCCCGGCCACCGCAGCCGTGACCTGCTGGGCTCCGGCGATCCTTCCACCTCAGCTTTCCAAGTAGCTGGAACTACAGGCACGCGCTACCACGCCCGGCTAATTTTTTTAAATTTTATTGTAGGGATGAGGTCTCGCCAAGTTGCCCAGGTGGGTCTTGAACCCGTGGGCTCAGGCAGTCCATTCACCTCAGCCTCCCAAAGGTGTGAGATTACAGGCTGAGCCACTGAGCCCGGCTTATACTTAAGTTTTTAAGCTCAAACTGGAGCTTAAAAATTTAAGTATAGTTATTTCACAAAGAAACGCTCGATAGGCAATAATGTAAACTATATGCTTATTTGAAAAAGATTACAGGGCAAAGCTGAAAAGTGAAAATAGCAAGCATTTCCAAAAGCTCATCATTCTATGTATTCATTTATTTCCTAGACCAAGCACTTTCCAAGCTAGAGTGTGCCTGAGAATCACTCAGAGGGCTTGCAGAAACACGGAGAGCTTGGTCTCCCCAGAGGCTCTGATTCACCAGAAAGGCCGAGGACTAGCATTCTAATAGTTCCCTGTGCTGCTGCTGCTACTGTATTCTAATATTATTCTCTTTACTCTCCCTATTTTGGGTTATTTTCTGAGTAGTTTCTGCCTATAAAGACTATTTAAATTAAAATTTTGGAACTAGGGCAACCCCCTGGGATCCCCTCCCAATAAATAAATAAAGACAGAGTTTTTCTGTCTTCTCAATTTAAAAAAAAAAAATTGTGGAACTAGGGTCCTATCCTAGGAAAAAATTTTAAAAATTAAATTAAATTAATACTGAAAATGTTTTTCTCCCTGCAGTCTATGAAGAAATTGGGACTTTACTTTTTGACTGTAGATTGTTTGAAGACACATTTGTCAACTTTCAAGCAGGTATGAGTTATATAACTGAGCAGCGTAGTTTAGAAATATTTATCGTAGGTATTAAAATAATAATACTATGCAGATGACAAAAATCCTACTTTAGAAGAATATTCATTGTTTTATTAAATGAAAAAACCCATTACAAAAATAGTATGACACCCCCCCGCACAAACACAAGAAAAAAATACACAGAAAACTGTACCCAGTGGAGGCAGTAGCTATTTGTAGGTGGTTGGATGATAGTGATTTCTTTTGTTTGTTTGTATGTTGGTTTGTTTTTGAGTTTGAAGTCTCACTCCATCACTCTAGTTGGATGCAGTGGCATGCACGCTCAAGGCCGCCCCATCACCAACTGGCTGGGCTCAGGCAGTCCTTTCCCCTCAGCCTTCCAAGTAGCCAGAACTACAGGAACATGCTACCTTGCCCAGCTAATTTTTTGATTTATTGTAGAGATGAGATCTTTCCAAGTTGTCCAGGGTGGTCTCAAACCTGTGGGCTCAGGCAGTCCCCTCATCTCGGCCTCCCAAACTGCTGGGGTTACAGGCTTGAGCCACTGTGCCCATCCTCTCTTGTCTGTTCTTATAGTGCTACATTTTCCAAATTTTCTATGTATATACGAATACTTTTATAATCAGAAAAAAAACCAAAAAAGTGATTCCCAAATCAGAGAGTATTTTGGCACATAAGTGGCACAGGCAGGAAGCTGGTGAGGCTTCCTGCAGCCTCTGTTCTCAGGGGCGAGGCTGTGAGAAACCACCCACAGCCTGCCTCCATTGCACTTGGGAAGAGATGTAAAAATGTCCAGGCTCCCACCACAAGCCTTCACATCTCATCTAATCCCTTACGCAGGGAAGGAGGGTTGTCATTGATTCCAAAGTTCATCAGGGAAAAAAAAGCAGCAAGAAGAGAGAAGAAATTTTTGTAGAAGAAATTCTGGTGAGGGTTGCATGGAAGGAGACTTAGCCTTTCCAGAAAATAGCAACCATTTATCGAGCAAGACCTCCTTTCAGCACTGGCAAAGAGGCCTTCAAGACCACCTAGAGTTCTACCTACTTCTGAGTCTGGTCTGACCTTTCTGTGAAAGTTACCATGTGGCAGGGCAGGCTGTAAAGATTACCCAGAACTGAGTGTGGACAGTTCCCCAGAGGCTGCACAACACAGACCCTGCACTCTCCTTTTCCAAAGGGGAAATTGTCTATCCAACAAATGGCCTTAGGACAATAGGTTTCCCTGTGGAGAACATCCATTCGCATCCCTGCCTCCTCACATACAACCTTCCTCCTTTTATCTTTCTATACTATACACTTGTTTGAGTTTTGAATTATATTTATAATCAGAAAAAAGGTATTTTTAAAAATCTACCAAAAACGGTGTCTCTTTAGAGTCTTGAGAAAGTAACTGTTAATAGGAGTATCTCTATATTTTTTAAAAGCAGCCCTTAAAATCTTTCTAAAAAGCCTTATTTTGTAGGCAACTTTCATCTGTGTTGTGACATTTGGGACATGTCACATATCACTACCTGGATGGCTTAGGTGGGAGCACATATATTACAGTGTAGTATTTGGGAGGTGTCAGTACTTGGAAATACAAGAGGACCAGCTTAAAAGGCTTACGTTGGTTTTGTTTGTTTTTGAGTAGGAGTCTCACTCTGTTGCCCAGACTGAAGTGCAGTGGCACGCTCATAGCCACTGCAGCCTCAACTTGCTGGGCTCAGGCTATCCTTCCACCTCAGCCTTCCAAGTAGCTAGAACCATAGGTGTGCGCCACCATGCCCAGCCCATTTTTTGATTTATTGTAGAGATGAGGTCTCACAAAGTTGCCCAGGCTGGTCTTGAACCCCTGAGCTCAGGCAATCCTCTCACCTCCACCTTCCAAAATGCTGGGATTATAAGCATGAACCACTGCGCCTGGCCATGTTGCTTTTTGACAACCCAGTTCACAAAGGCTTGCTTAATTAAGCCTTACTGGCTGGGCACGGTGGCTCAAGCCTATAATCCCAGCACTTTGGAAGGCAGGGAGAGAGGATTGCTTGAGCTCAGGGGTTTGAGACCAGCCTGAGCAACATGGCGAGACCCTGTCTCTACAATAAATAAATTTTAAAAATTAGGCCGGACGCGGTGGCTCAAGCCTGTAATCCTGGCGCTTTGGGAGGTCGAGGTGAGTGAATTGCCTGAGCCTGCAGGTTCGAGACCCGCTTGGGCAACTTGGCGAGACCTCATCTCTACAATAAATAAAAAATTAGCCGGGCATGGTAGCGCATGCCTGTAGTTCCAGCTACTTGGAAGGCTGAGGCAGAAGGATCGCCGGAGCCCAGCAGGTCGAGGCTGTGGTGGCTGGGAGCAGCTACTGCACTCCAGTCTGGATGACAGAGTGAGACTCCAACTCAAAAAACAAACAAACAAAAACCCACAGATACATAATCTTTTCTCCTATTCTGAGGAAATATTATGTATCTGTGTATTTTTAAACTGTTCAATTTTGAAGCTTTAAAAAATTATACTGCTACTGAGTACTATTTATTTATAAAGCTTAAATCAAAAAGCTTCTTCCTAAGTTTCCGATTTCTAAATAAAACTGAAAACTTTTTTGTAACATTATAAATTGGGTGCATTTTTAGGAAAGATCTGCCTTAACCCTTGGTATTCTAGCCACACTATCTCCAATTTATCATCTCTCAACAAATGGATATAGTATAGAATGAAGGCTACACACTGTTTTCCAGTGCTCAAAGGCAAACAAATAGGGCTTGTTCTGCTATAAATGTATACAAGATCTGAAATACTTACTGACCAGCCTTGTGTGTGATACATGTCAGAATTCTCTCCTGAATCAGAAGGCAGCAGCAAAGGCATAAAGAAACCAGTCTAGCTCACAAGACTCGAGATTCTTCTCATTTGAGTAGACTGCACTGGCAAAGGAAAGGGCTAGAACTAGTGTATTATTTCTGTTGAAACTGCTGAATAATCTGAAATCACTTTGTTTCTTCTTTTCATAGCAATAGAGCAAAAAATCCATGAGTCTCAAGAAAGGCAGCAGCAGTTGGACGAACAGATTGAACTTCTTCAAGACTTAAAAAATAACGTGTGCCTTTTTCAAGAAAACAGAGACCCCGAGTTAAGTTCTATCTCAACTTCATGTTCCCTGTCTTCTTAATAGTCACATTTGCTAAGCCAGGAAGCAGGCCCCATGGCAACCCGGCTCCAGCCCAGAGCCCTGGCCATGAAAAGCACACATTTTTGGGACTAGGCCTCTCGTCTGGCCCTGGGGCATGAACTGCAACCCCCAGCAGCTCTTACCTGTTTGCTGACTGACTTCAAGCCCAGCCAGGTATTCACTGCCTCCTTCCGTCATCATCTCACTTCTTTTCCTAGTCTCTCTCCAATAAAAAGCTGCTCAGATCCTGCTTGGGGAAATTGGACCATGCCTCCCATCTCTCCCATCGCTGCACTTAAAATCCTGTGGGTGCCTCTTGCTGATGTATTCGTCTCCCACCCACAGTTGAATCTAATGACACAGCTGGTGCTCCAACCCCCAGGGCCTTTGCACATCCTGTTATGAAGTCTCAACTATCACCTTTGTCTGCTCCTCCTGCCAACCTTATCATTAGTCTCCCGTTTATTCCGACAGTACTTTTCCTTCATATCACTTCTCAATCTAATTGACTGTATCTCACATCACACCATTAGAGTACAAGCTCTCAGCAGCAGAAATTCACTCCTGTGTAGTGCACACTATTCTGTTTTATGCTCACAACCGTGTTTTGCTATCACATTCCTAGCACCTAGCATCCTCAATTTTTGTGGAATGTGTAAAATTTTTTTGACTTCTGAGACTAGTTCCAACCCATAATGGCTCTTAGAGATAATAAATTTTTATTACTACTTTACGTGTACCAAATTTATCTATCTTCATGTTACAGGCAATCCTCCCACCTCAGCCTCCCCAGTAGCTGGGACTACAGACACATGCCACCACCAGCTAAGTTTTTTATTTTTTGTAGAGACAGAGTCTTGCTGTGTTGCCTAGGCTGGTCTTGAACTTTTGGGCTCATGCAGTCCTCTCACTTCGGCCTCCCAGAGTGCTGGGATTACAAGTATGAGCCACTACGCCCAGCCCCATAAAGTCTGCTTTTTAAAAATTCTTTTCCAGCGACAGTCATCACATCAGCATTCATCTTCAAAACGGACATCTAAATTTTAAATTGGATGCTTTGAAAAATAACATCAGTGGTAATAAGCAAGAATGAAAAAAAGTAAGTTACATTTTTCTTAACAATATGCCATTCAGATTTTTATGCCCACACCACCATGTCTGACCCCTGAAAATTTCATATTCACAGTCCCGATTTGTAACCGTGGTTACCTTTTAACTCTGATTTACAATAATACTGTATTTCAGTGGAGCTGAACTGAGTTCTCAGCATGGTGTCTGGCATATAAAAAATAAGTATTTAAAAAGTATTTGTTGAAGAAAGACTACGACACAGATGAAAAAGAACATCCCATTCCTGTCGTGTTGGCGATCCTAGTCCAAGTCATTATTACCTGAAGGGCAAAGTCTAAATCAGTAGTTTTCAGATTTGGCGGCAAATCAGAACCATCTGGGGCACTTTAAAAACTACAGAAGCCATGAATCTATCTCAGATTCCCCTGGTCTAGATGGTTACAGTAGCTTTAGCTTCCTATCTTGACATTACACCTAGAGCAAAGCTTATGTGACTAATTGTTTTGATGTCATGATCTCTGCTAAGAAAAAAATCAGTGTCCCCTCTTTACTTTCAAAGTTAATCTGCCAGTCATGGTGGGTAACTTAGCACAATGAAGTAACAGGTATTTGGGTGTCACAAAGTGAGCAAATATTGGGCAAACTGCTAAAACAGACTTGGGTTCGTGCTTTAGCTATGTCACTATGGAAAACCTTGAATCAAATTATTTAATCTCTCTGAGAATAATTCGGCCTACCTTATGGGACAAAATGTGGACACTAAGTGAGAAAATGTATGTGAAGCCCTGAGCACAGTGCCGGGTGCTGTGGGAAATAAATGCTCTCTCTCACACACACACACTCTGCCAACATTTTCCTGGCTTATTTTCTCCATTCTAACCAAACCAACTTGCTTATGGTAAGTTCCAGAAGGTTCATTAGCCCCCACCTCTAAGCCGTTGCTTGTGCCACTAACCCATTGTTTTGAACAAGACATTTCATGTTCCCCCACCCTGCACAAGCATCTTCAGAACAGCTGCTTGTCACGTTGACCCTATTTGGTTTTCTCTCATGAACTATGATGAAAAGCTGTTTATAAAGACCTTGTTGTGTTCATTTCTAATCCTATCTTCCCTCTCCTAAAAATGTGTATGTTCCTTGAGGATAGAGAGTATGTCTTTTCCTTCATTTGTAAGCATATCCAAAGTATTCAGATACATTTTTCGGCTGTGACAGTTCAATTGCACTAACTTTTACCAGAAATAAAATCCAAGGATTTCCATGATGTGTCTGTATGTAGCTGAGAATTGAGCAGTTGACACGTTCATGGTGTTACCTATTTTTAATTTGGTATCTGATAAGAATCTTACTACTGGTTTTTAAAAGTTATGGTAAAATATACAGAACATAAAATTTACCATCCCGACCATTCTTAAATGTATGGTTCAATGACACTAAATACATTCACCCTGTTGTACAACCATCACCACCACCCACCCATCCACCCATCCATTAAGCAACAGCTCTCAGGCCAGGCACTGTGGCTCAAGCCTGTAATCCCAGCACTTTGGGAGGTTGAGGTGAGAGGGTTATGTGAGTCCAGAGGTTCGAGTCCAGCCTGGGCAACTTGGTGAGACCTCGTCTCTACAATAAATCAAAAAATTAGCTGGGCGTGGTGGCACATGCCTACAGTTTCAGCTTCTTGGAAGGTTGAAAGAGAAGCATCACCTGAGCCCAGCAGGTTGAAGCTGCAGTGGTCATGAGCATGCCACTGTACTCCAGCCTGGGCAACAGAGTGGGACTCCAACTCAAAAAAATAAAATAAATTTTAAAAAATTAAAATAGAAGAACTAGCTCTCCATTCCCCACCCCACCCTCTTCCCTCAGTCCCTGGCAACTACCATTCTGTTCCGTCTCTATGAATTTGACTATTCTAGGTGCCGCATGCAAGTGGAATCACACAGTACTTGTCCTTCAGTGACTGGCCCATTGAGCTAAGCATCACATCCTCAAGGTTTGTCCATGTGCACCATGTGTCAGGACTTCCTTCCTTTTTAAGGCTGTACACTAGTGATTTTTGGAGGGGGAAGAACAACTCCATATGCCTGCTTTAATGGGTTACTTTATTTATTAATATGTCTAAACATTACAGAAATACAGCCATGTACTAGAGTATCAAACATTGTTCTGGTAAGAAGTTATAGAGTACATTTAGGGCTATTTTAAGAAATGTAAATACTTTGGCTTCCATTATTACATCAGATGAAGAAAATCAATCAGAACAGTTTTCATATCCTGCTATGATTAACAACAAAACCAAGTAGAAAAATAAGAGTGTATGTTTTAAAAAAAAGATACTCAAGTACTTTTTGAAGGACTTCCTCTTGTTCTCCTCATGGCCCCACACACACACACACACACACACACACACACACACACTGCTCAATAACTGATATGAGAAGTGGTCCTCCACTGAATGAGCTATCGATGGATATGGAGCTACTACATTAATTTGTGCTTTATTGGAGAAGTTTTTTCAAGTAAGAACAACAGTAAACACACTGAACCCTCCTTTTCTTCCGATCATAAGCCCACAGTACAGTGACTGTTACAAACACCATCCATCATTGCTAATAATCAAATTAATGTGCATTTATCAACTTAGTAAGAAAAATTCTATCACACTGCAGAACTAATTCTAACCTAATAATTCACTGGGCTTCAATCAATTGTGATATGGTCGAAAAGAGGGACTGAGACTACTAGGCTTGTGTCTATTTCATCTATCAATGAATTCCTACCTTGGGGCTTCACTCCCCCTCCCACCCCAATATGTACACGTTGCAAAACATTGCTAAAAATAGCAGCTGCAGCATATCTTCACCCTCCTGTCTATTTGGCTCTGACAATGTACTCAGGCTCCAAGTTCAGAAGAAGGGCCTTCCAAGCAGGAAACAAAATTCACAAAGGGAGCTCACACAGAAGGAAATAAGTTCACAGACCAGAGAGCAAAGCAAAACTCTGTCCTTAAAGCAAGCTCAATGGACACACATGATAAAACTCAAAGCCAAACACACTTACATTCCAAAGACACCTTTCATAACCAGTTCAAAAAACCTTGTCTTTTAATAGAATCTTTCAGGAATACCACAATGGTGACCTTTTTTCCAAGGCTACATTGTGCTAAATATTACACCTAACACAATTAAAAGCAAAAGCCAAAAGTGAAAGGTGATTAAGTTTCAAAAGCAAATTTGTAATGGTATGTGGCCTAGATAAAGTGGAAAAAGCAAATTCCCTTAAGTCCTGTAAGAAAGCTGGCTTTCAGACCCACTTCTTCCAGTCATACGGAGTAGCTCCAATGAGTTAGCGCCCCAATTTAGGAAGGCAAGAAGAGCATCCTATCCTACCTATGTCACCATTCTCCTCTCATGAGTCAGCATTTACAGAAGGAGGGAGCACTTTAAATGAGTTCTCAAATTCTACCCGAATGATATAAAACACTGTTGGATAAGTTATGGAGATTCTAATTTATAAAACACCTTTATCCAAATGAGGTTTCTTTATCAACTTCTCATGGATAGTTCTAAATTACTATTCTTATGAAATTAAATCTTAAGGGAACTCTTGGCTAACTCAGAAATTCATCTTTACATAATTGTCATTTCAACAGGTGTAACTCATGTTAAACTGAATATTACTTAGTTATATCTTGAAGTTAAAAGAAGTCATCAGCAGTGCAAGCACACAAAGCCTCAAACAGTCGTAACTGCTCCTCCACAGTAAGGCTACTGAACCAGTAACCACACCACACCTCAGCAAGCCCCAAGTCGGCATCTGGAATTCACGGTGCAGTCCCATGTTCATCTCACTATTCACACACTGTCACCACTCCTGGTATCCAAAGGTTACCGACATGTGGCCCAGGAGAATTGTCACTAACTCCTTCCCAAGTTCAGACGTTCCTCCAATCAAAAAGGAAAACAAAACCAAAAACAGCTACACTTTCACCCTTTACATGTTCCAGCCCAAATGTAAGACCGGTCACATATAAGATACACATATCCGGAAATATGAGTAGCTTAAAATGGGCTCAAGAAAAGCCGTACCTCCTGCATATCTTCCTACCCAGAAAACCATGTCTCAGAATGTGAAGAAAACAACCTGATGGGGTTTTTTTTACCTGCAGAATTACATCACCCGTAGAGCACAAACTGGGCACATCACCAGCAGTGCCCCAGAGCACTCACACACAACCCAGCAGCCTTGGGCTTCAGTTCTTAAAGGCTCCACATTTACTGGCTTTAGCAATGAACTCCTTTAGCAGAGGGCCATCCATTTGCCAAAATGCAGCAGTCTGTGTAACTTCTGTCAAATGATTGATGCAAAACTTAAAGCAGAATTCTTCTAAATCCTGGACACACACAACAAAAATAAAAACAAAAAGAGGTCTTTTTTAATTAACTTTGACTGAATTATTTCTCTCCAAGCCCTCACCCCAAATCTCTCACCCTCCCACAGAAAGATATTTGAGAGGCCAGATACCTCAAACAGGTAAACAGGTGACCACAGGTAGGTGTCAGAAAAACACATACTATTTCATCACAACACAGTGAAAGCAATGGTTCCCCCAACTCAAATGTCACACACACTCACACACAAGAACTGTGGGGGAAAACATTTCCTGCATGGTTATCACAGTCTAGTGATACTCAAAGACACCGTTGTAAATGGCAGACTGCTACTTTAGTCCACAGAATGTGTTTTATCACAATTAAGAAATCAGAGAAAAGAACTAAGATGTGGATTAAAGACAGAGCCGGGTACATTGGCTCACACCTATAATCCCTGTATTTTGGGAGGCCAAGCCAGGACTGCCTGAGCTCAGGAGTTCAAGACCAGCCTGAGCAGCATGGCAAGACCTCATCTCTACAATAAATCAAAAAATTAGCTGGGCATGGTGGCACACACCTGTAGTTCCAGCTACTGGGAACGCTGAGGCGGAAGGATGTCTAAGCCCAGCAAGTTGAGGCTGTGGTAGCCATAAGCGTGCCACTGCACTCCAGCCTGGGTGACAGAGTGAGACTCTGACAAAGAAAGAGAGAGAGAGAGAGAGAGAAAAAAAAAAAAGAAAAAGAGAGAGAGAGAGAGAAAGACTTTAGCAAACAGAAAAGTAACAGAGAGATGGATTCAACCTAAAATGACACATTAAAAAGAAAATCCCCCCAAAATCACCTTAAGTTCACTTTCATGCTCTCCTAATAAAAATGATTTCATTTTTAAAGCCACAAAGAATAATATACTATAATTTCCACCATACTAAATTTCTCATACTGTCAACCCCAGAGAAGTTTACACAGATTGGATTTTTCAGTCAGACCAATGGAAGTCAACAACTACCAACATTAAGTAGGAAAGCAACATATACAAGTGGTAAATTGGGACAATTTAAAAATCAATTTCTAGCCGGGCTCGGTGGCTCAGCCTATAATCCCACGCCTTTGGGAGGTTGAGGTGAGTGGACTGCCTGAGCCTGCGGGTTCGAGACCCGCCTGAGCAGCGAGACCTCATCTCTACAATAAATCAAAAAATCAGCCGGGCGTGGTAGTGCATGCCTGTAATTCCGGCTACTCGGAAGTCTGAGGCGGAAGGATCGCTGGAGCCCAGCAGGCGAGGCTGTGGTGGCCGGGAGCGGCCACTGCACTCCAGTCTGGGTGATCAAGTGAGACTCCAACTTAAAAAAATAAAAAAAATAAAAATCAATTTCTGCCTGTAAAACTCTAATATGGTTTTCCCTTCATAAATCAATCATGCACCTGGAATGTATACAAAGACTAAATAAATATATAAAAGCAAATCACACTAAAAGCTCTTATCGCAAATAGCTTGACTTTTATAACTTGGCCAGCTGATAAGGTCTACATTGAAGGTCAATACTCAGAGTTCTATAGAACAGGAAACTCAACAACAATGCAACTGCGGAGTCTTGACTTCACATTTCCAGTCCTCTCAAAGTGGAGATTCTAGATGGAGTGGAGAAGAGACCACACAGAGAGACCCCTCTTCTGCTCTCTCAGTCAGATCTCTGCTTGCAAACAATAGTTCCTTGTTCTGAGGGCCCTTCAGTCCCTGGCTGAAAGTTCCCCTAAACTCACGAAACATACCCAGTCACATGACCATTAAGAGAGTAACCACATTAAACCTAATGTGGATCAGTGGCTGCTGCTAGAGTTTCATTTTCTAGATAATTCAAAATGCACTTAAAATGTTAGCTCGACCTCTGGATTTATGTTTTTTTAATCAGAGACTCCCAGTGAGCTAGATGGAATGGTCTGTGTCTTATAATAAAATAAAACGCCAAACTGTAGAAAGTTTTTCCTCTCACTCTTCAAGAGAAAGCACTACGCCTGGTATAACCCAATGATTAATAAATAGCTCTCGGAACTAAACTACATTCCACAGGGACATAAAAGTCACATTTTTATCTAATTTAGTTACTAGACATAGAAAACTAGTTTACCTACATATAACTTAGGAAGTGGTCAGTCATGAGCAAAGAAAGTTCTTCAAACCATTTAATGTATCAGATAAGGATCTTTAAATATTAATTACATAACTTTGAATCCACAGAAAAAGAAAAGTACTGGCATCAGAAAACCTCATCACTTTTGTATAAGGTTTGGAATTCAAGATCTTTGTAGTCTATTCTAAAAAGTGAAAAATAGATAAATTTTTTTTATAAAGTGAATTTAAAGCGAATTTATTCAGCTTACTAACTGTGCAGAAATTAACTTTAATGTAGTACAGGCATACAAGTGGTGTTGCTAATTACAATTCACTTCATTTATAAAAATGATTCTGAGGCCAGGCTCGGTTGCTCAGCCTGTAATACCAGTGCTTTGAGTGGACTGCCTGAGCCCGCGGGTTCGAGACCCACCTGGGCAACTTGGCGAGACCTCATCTCTACAATAAATCAAAAAATTAGCCGGGCATGGTAGCGCGCGCCTGTAGTTCTGGCTACTCGGAAGGCTGAGGCAGAAGGATCGCCGGAGTCCAGCAGGTCGAGGCTGCAGTGGCCGGGAGTGGCCACTGCACTCCAGTCTGGGTGACAGAGTGAGACTCCAACCCAAAAAAAAAAAAAATGATTCTGTCAAACAGCCTACTCTTCCCCTCTAACTGGCTTAAATTGGGAGAGAGAGTGGTATTCCATAAATGTTCAGCAGTTCAGACTTTTTCAAATACTAAAAGTCAAACTAGAGAATACTGAAAACAATCTAAATCTGGGTTGTTTAAATAACTAATTGAACCTTGGTTAAGGTAGATCTATGTAAAATTTAGGTAGTACTGAATATATCTGGAGAGAGAGAGAGACTTGAATTTGCAAGTTCATTTACATGATCTAGAGGGTGGCACAGTCAAGCACAACCAACCAGCAACCAATGCCTGAGTCCGTCAGCCTTTGATGGTGAATTAGATAAACTTCCTTCTGATGAGGTCCATCTTAACTATTACCAAAGCCTACAGGTTTTGTTCCCCTCATTGCGCAAATGATCAGATTTTCAATCACCACAAGAAGATGCAACTTTTGCCCAACTAAGTCAACTATAACTGGATTGCTGGGCTTTAAATAAAACAACTCCAAGAAGGACAGGAAGGATCATTTGACTAGTAGATTAAAAAGTTCATAACAGAGTAAGAGTCTTGTTCCAGCCCATGAAATAGGTAAGTACAGAGGTTGTAAAATCAAGAGGGTCTGATACAGTCTTCTTGGAATTAGAAACTGAACTCTAGGACATTCTGTGATGAAATTATAAAGCAGTTCTGAGGCAAAAGAGATAAAACACCAAATTTATTGTTATTAGTAAAAAAAAGATTTAAAAACTGCTATTCTGAAATAATTTACAAATTCATCCCAAATATTTAAACATTTAAATTATTACAATCACTATACATTCTCTGAAAATAAGGTGTTTTTACTTTCCACAGATTTTCTTTAGTAACTAAACACAGAGGATCAATGGTCTTAATATCCTCATTTTAAAAAATGCAACTTTTAACGGAGTTCTTATCGAGTCCAAAATTTCCAAAGCTAAGACAGCTGAATGCTAACACTTCTTTGAAGACCACTTGGCCAGGATGAGCAGGTTGTGTCATTACAGCTACATAGGAGACACATTCCAGATGGCAAAGTATCACAAGCCACACTTAAGTCTGTCCAACTGTTGTTAAAGTAATTACAAAACAAAAGCCCAAAACTGTAAGTCTGTAATTAACTTTTAGTATGTCTAATATAAAATATCCCAAATCATAGCGGGTTCTGTTTCTGTTTTTCAGAATGGATTTAAATGTCCTACCATATGGGAAAAAATAATTTCTCTCATTACACAAAAAGCATTTTACACCCTACTGCTGATGGAACACTTTTAATTTGGCCCACCAAAAGAAGAGACAAGCACTGACCATCCAACTTTGGTACTGAGCTGTCCAATACCCTCATCCAAAACCAACTTCAGAACTAGATTCCTGGGCTGATGTTTATGGTTTCCCAACAAAAGTACGATCATAAGATACAAGGGGCTGAGAACATAGGCTTTTCTGGAAAGTGTTCTACTCTAGTTAAACAAATATTTCCCAACCGTTTCTCCTAATGTTCAAATATACATAAAAAACAAGAATTTCCTGAAAAGAATCAGTATAAACAGAGCATTGTAGAATGTCTGCAATGCGATACTGAGCTATCTTTTTTGTTTGCTTGTTTTGAGTCAGGGGTCTCACTCTGTTGCCCAAGCTGGAGTACAGTGGCACAATCACAGCTCACTGCAGCCTCAACCTCCTGGGCTCAAGTCATCCTTTCTCCTCAGCCTCCAGAGTATCTGGGACTAGGCAAATGCCCCTTGCCTGGCTAATTTTTAAAAATTTTTTGTAGAGCTGAGGTTTCACTATGTTGGTCTTGAACTCCTGGCCTCAAGTGATCCTCCCACCTCAGCCTCCCAAAGTGCTGGGATTAAGGCATACCACTGTGCCTGGTCAATACAGAACTATCTTGAGACAATGTTTTATTTACATTGTCTCCCTTGACACCAATATATAATCAGGTCTGTACCGGAAGAATATTTACGTGCGCCCTTCAAGTCTTTCTTTATAAACCTGTAGACAGTTCGATGATGCATCCAGAATGGGCTCCACAATAATCAGCTGACTTTTAAAAATACTTGTAACTACTGAGTCTGTATATTTATGAGTGTGTACATTTGCTTCAAAACTATCTTGTCAAAGGGGTCAGGGAGTAACCACAGTAACTTGTGGCAAAAAGAGAAGAAACAGCAGAAGCAAGTACTCTTCACCTTCCCAGTGTTTTGCCCCACAGAAAGAAGGCAAAGTCACCCTGCATTCCCATGTTGAACTTTTGAGAATAGTTTTTACAATTAATTTCCAACCCGATTAATCAGTAGTATCCAACCAATTAACAAACATAATGAGTGCATTTTATTTGTGTACGCTAAACATTTCATTTATACTTACTACATTCTACAGTATAAAAATGAAATGCAAAAAGCACATTAGTCAATTATTTAACTCATTTCAGAACCTAAAAAGTACACCCTAGAATTATTTTTTGTCTTCTATTCTCTAACTTTGGGATTTTAAGATTTGTGTTTGTTTTTGAGACAAGGTCTTGTTCTGTTGCCCAGGCTGGACTGTGCAGTGGTATGATCATAGTTCACTGCAGCCTTGAACTCTAGGGCTTAAGCAATCCTTGCACCTCAGGGTCTCACTATGTTGCCCAGACTAGTCTTGAACTCCTGGTCTCAAGCAATCCTCCTGCCTTGGTCCCCAAAGTGCTGGGATTAGAAGGCATAAGTCGCCACACCTGGCCTTTAAAATATAGACAGATGATAGATAGATGGATGGATAGATGGATAGATGGATGGATAGACAGACAGATAGATTTTTTTACGTGCACATTCATGGTGAGATGTTTCAAATATATTCATTCATTTAATTCAATATAAATTTTTGAGTGCCAACTCAATGGCTACACTGTGACAGACTCAAGGAATCACATACAAGGGGGGGGGGGCGCAAAAAACCAGAAATTATCTTTTGGAGGCCCCTTGTAGTACACTCAGAATTTGTTCCTCCATATCAATTTTTTTTAATCTGAAAGTTTTGAGGTGTGTCATAATTGGTGGGAAAAAAGTCCTGAGTTGTGGCAAACAGGTAACTGGTTCTTCACCATAACAAAGCACCTGCCCACACCACGTTGAGTGTTCAGCAGTTTTTGTCCAAAAACAGCATGACCTCCATGCACCACCTGCCCTATTCACCTGATCTCACCCCCAGCTACTTATTTTGTTTTCCCAGATGAAAAAAGGTCCTCAAAGAGAAACATTTTGCTGATGTGGAAGGGAAAACAAAAAATGGCAGAAGCACTGAGAGGCATCAAAATGGACAACTTAAAAAACTGTTTTGAGCACTAGAAAAAGCATCTGGATAGGTGTATTGCATCAAATGGAGAGTACTTTGAAGATGACTAAACTTTAAACATATAAAAATAAATATATAACTTTTTATAAATAAATTCTGGGTTTTTCTGGACCCCCTCTTGTATATTTGCAGTCTCTTTAAAGGAACAAATTTTTTTTTTAATTTTAAAGATGTGGGGTACAATTCAGGGTTGGGTATACAAATGTTCATTATGCAGGTACCCTTGTTGATGAGGTGTGCCGCTCCCTCCCCTGGTAGTTTCCCTCCACTGCCAATCCCATTCCACTCCCCCAGCAGTTTCCCACTACTGCCAATCCCTTTCTTATAGTATTATGATAATTGTTCAAGGTCCGCTTATAAGTGAAAACATATGGTATTCTGTTCTTTGTTTCTGTGATAGATCACTGAGTATGATCATGTACCACATTTTTTTAATCCAGTCCAGCTTCGATGGGCAGCATGGCTGGTTCCATGTTTTTGCTATTGTGAATAGAACTGTAACAAACATGCGTGTGCAGGTATCTTTTTTGTAAAAGAATTTGCGTTCCTCCGGATATATTCTCAATAGGGGGATTGCTAGATCATATGGAAGGTCAATTTCTAGTTCTTTTAGAAATCACCACACTGCCTTCTAAAGAGGTTGCACAAGTTTGCATTCCCACCAATGTAGAAGCATTCCTTTTTCTCTGCATCCTCGCCAGCATCTGCTGTTGTTTGGTTAATGATGGCCATTCTGACTGGGGTTAGGAGGTACCTCAATGTGGTTTTGATTTGCATTTATCTGATGATTAGTGAAGCTGAGCACTTTTTCATGTGTCTGTTGGCTGCCCATATATCTTCTTTTGAGAAGTGTCTATTCATATCTTTTGCCCACGTTTTAATGGGGCTGTTTGTTTTTTTCCTTTAGACACGTTTGAGTTCCTTGTAGATCCTGGATGTTAGGCCTTTGTCAGCGGGGGCTCCCTCAATGGTTTCTTTGGCTTTGCAGAAGCTTTTTAGTTTGATGAGGTCCCACTGTCTATCTTGTTTCCTAAGCCATGAGCACTTGGGGTTTTGATCAGGAACTGGTTGCCAGTTCCAATTTCCATAAGGGTATCTCCTGCATTTTCTAAGATTCTTATAGTTTGAGGTTTTATGGTTAGGTCTTTGATCCATTTAGAGTTAATTTTTGAGTATGGTGATAGGTAGCGGTCCTGTTTCAATCTTCTGCATGTGATCAGCCATTTTCCCAGCACCATTTACAGAATAGGTTCTCCTCTCTCCAGTGGTTGTTGGTGGAGGGTTTGTCAAAGATGGAGTTGGTTGAGAAATTGAGGCTTTGCTTCTGGAATCTCTACCCTGTTCCATTGGTCTATATGCCTGTTTTTGTACCAATACCAGGCTGTTTTGATTACTGTAGCCTTATAGTAAAGTTTGAAGTCTACAAGTATGATACTTCCTGCTTTGTCTTTTGCTAAGGATTGTTTTGGCTATTCGTGGTCCTTTATGTTTCCATATGAATTTCTGTATTGTCATTTCCAGGTCTGAGAAGAATGATGTTGGTAATTTAATTGGGTATTGCATTCAATCAGTAGATTGTCTTTGGTAGGATAGACATCTTAACAATGTTGATTCTTCCTATCCATGAGCTTGTAATATTTTTCCATTTGTTTGTGTCTTCTTGGATTTCTTTGAGCAGTGTTTTGTAATTGTCATTGTAAAGGTCTTTCACTTCTCTGGTTAGGAAGATGCCAAGGTATTTCTTTTCTTTTTTTTTTTTTTTTGTGGCTATTGTGAATGGGATTGTGCTTTTTACTTGGTTCTCTGCCTGCTTGTTTTTGGTGTATAAGAACGCAATTGTCCTTTGCACATTTATTTTGTACTCCGACACTTTGCCAAAGTCCTTTATCAGTCAGTGCAAGCAGGTTTTTGATAGATTCTCTTGGATTTTCAAAGTATAGGATCATATTGTAAGCAAAAAGGGATAATTTGACTTACTCTTTTCCTTTTTGGATACCCCTGATTTACTTCCCTTGTCTAACTGCCCCAACTAGGACTTAAAGGAACAACTTCTAATGTGTTTATACTTAAAATGACCAAATGGAAACTATTAAAGGAAATGATCTGCTGGCATGGGTGGTGGAAGAGATGTGGTAGGTGGCTTTTTCTGTAAACTTCCTGCAACAGTTTTAGCTTAAGGTAAGAAAGAACTCTCCAGCAACTAGAGCTGAGATGTCGGCCCATGCGCAGGTTGTCCTGACTATTGTGGGTCAGCAAGGGCTGAATCCCGAGTATGAAACTTTTTAAATGAGGGGAAGAGTGTGGACAGGCAAGAGAAGATTCTGAAACTCATCACTACAAGAAGATAAAAGGCATGGACTGACAATATTCAAAATTATATTACTGGGTGAAAATAAAACCTAAAGAAATAATATTTCTGATATAAGAGGTTCGGGAAGTGCAGGAAGCCAGTCATCCCTTCATTTTGTACTAGGAATGATTTACTTTGATCATCATTCCATCTGTTGTCAGACTACAAAGTCAGCTATATTTGATCTCATCAAATATTTATAATCATAATATAACCTCAAACAAAAATAGAATACATTTTGGAAATACAAGTCATAAAGGTTGACTTTGCTCCCCAGTGCAATGAAGTCTGTCCTCTGTTATACCTCAAAGGCCACAGCTGTAGATTTTTGCAGGTGTTTGATAAATTCCTTGATACCAGATACTCTGCCTTGTCAAATGGTGGCAAATTATCTGTAAACGTGCTAACAGTGTCATTTTACATGCACACCTTAGCTAGACATCTTGAACCTCTGAGACTATTATTGCTCTCTGGCTTTTCTTCTCTAAGAATCTGTGAAACCGGCTGGGCACAATGGCTCAGCCTGTAATCCCAGCACTTTGGGAGGCCGAGGCGAGAGGACTGTCTGAGCCCAGGGGCTTGAGATGAACTTGGTGAGACCTCATCTCTACAATAAACCACAAAAAAAACTAGCCAGGCTTGGTGGCATATGTCTATAGTTTCAGCTATTTGGAAGGATGAGGCAGAACGATCACCTGAGTTCAGCAGGTCAAGGTTGCAGTGGCCGTAAGCGTGCCACTGCACTCCAGCCTGGATGACAAGAGTGACACTCCAACTCAAAAAAAAAAAAAAAAAGAATCTGTGAAACCAACCATACCAGTCTTTAGCTCACTGATTACTCTCCATGCTCCATTTAGGCGGTACCGTCTCACCCAGCTAACAATGCCTCACATGTGCCAGGGACTACTGGATATGCACACAAGGAAGACACAGTTCCTGCTCGTGAGGATGCTCTGGTTCTTAACTTTAAGAAAATGCACATCAACACAAACTTTCACACTCCCAAAGCCCATTAATTCGTAGACTTTCCAGAGATCTGTGAATCCCATAATAGGAACTCAATCCAGTGCAAAAACAAAAAGGAGATCACAAGTTCTTAACACACCAATAACTGTGAGTTACAATCAGATGGTGCTAGATTTCAGAGCATACACAGATACAAACCACACAGCATCCCTGACTTATGACAGGGCAGAATTGAGAAGAAAGCAAAGTGGGTCTTGAAAAAAACATATGCTAAACTCTGCTGTTTGTTGGTCCAGTTAGGTGTAGCACTTTATATTCCAACCTGCAGGACAGCTGCTGGAACTCCAGTTAGTTTCTTATCTCAGTTAAAAATGGATGTAGAGGAACAACCACTTTTGAATCAAAGAACAGAGAACAAAGAAGCAAGACCAAATTTCAGTTTTTAAGGATCAGGCAGTTCACTGATTCCCTAAACAGAAATAAAGTTACACATCATTTTCTTTGTCTCACGTGAGAAGAAGGGGAGTTAAGGGTGGTTTTAGTTTTCTGTGTGTTGTTTTATGTTACCTCCGCATCATATCGGACTGCAGCAGAGAATAATGAAAAGGCATTCTCCACAGTAATTCCTCGCTTGATAATGTGCTGACAAAGTTTTTTCAGTCTGTTTTCACAATAAGATGTCGCCAAATCCAAAAGACCTAAAAGAAAAAAGTGAGAAAGGCTTAATTGAGTTTACAATAATTTCTCATAACTGATCAACATATACTTTTCATCTTGATGAAGAGAGTTATGTAGAAAAATCAGTAGAAGTTTATTTGTGAATAATATTCTGACCTTGAGTAAAGAAATTCTCTTTAATTTTTTTTTTAAGTTGGAGTCTCTCACTCTATGTCGCCCAGGCTGGAGTGCAGTGTCATGCTCACGGCCACCGCAGACTCTACCTCCTGGGCTCAGGTGATCCTTCCACCTCAGCCTTCCAAGTAGCTGGAACCACCACATCTGGCTAATTTTTTGATGTATTGTAGAGATGACTACTAAGTTGCCCAGGTTGGTCTTGAACCCATGGGCTCAGGCAATCCTCTCACCTCAGCCTCCCAAAGTGCTGAGATTATAGGTGTGAGCCACCACGACCGGCCACAAATTCTCTTTTTTACTGCCTACCTTTCCCGCCCTTATACCTCGGCTATGCTTACCTTATACAATTTCTTCTGTAATATAAAGCAAGGGCAAAAAATGGCATTTCTGTCCTCATTTGGTTTCCAAAATAATAAGTTCATTAGTGACTTATACTTCAATATTGAAAAATTAAGATAAGTCCATAGTCATAAAGTATGTCCATAATTATTCATAATAACTACACAATACTATTTTTAAAGACTTTTACTTCAAATCTTTTTTTAAACATCCAGTAAAAGCTAAGAAACCTGAAACTTTTTACATTTCAGGACTCTAAGAACACGAGGAGATACTCTCGACCATGTGGCGTGGCCAGTCCCAGAGCAGTCCAGTACCTATAGCATCTTCTGGCGGCAGGTCAACGGTGTCTGTGTAGAGGTACTGGAGAAAGGCACGATACACTGGGTAAGAAAATTGGTCGATTTCTATCACTTCCTTCATATCCTCATTCCAATATGACTGGAACATGGATCGAAAGTGCTCACACCTCAAATAGAAAAGCAAAAGTCACCTAATGAGTTGATGACATCAGCTAAGCAGAGATCAGAAGTATCCTTAACAACTATATGTGGGCCCTCACACATCAGGTTCATGAATCTTTCGCTAGCACCCTAAAAACATTCCACATACATGGGGTGTTATACATGCCTTTTACATACACTCATTTTCATTTCTTGTATATCTCCTATTAGATATTAAGAATTATATGTACACCCTAGAAGCACCTAGCACTTCAACAATACTACTGTTTATATTTGATGGTCCCCACATATTTTTTGCTCACTTTGGTTTTTTTTTTTAAAGATGTACACAACCCAGGCACAGTGGCTCACGCCTGTAAGCCCAGCACTTTGAGAGGCTGAGAAGGGAGGATTGCCTGAGCCCACCTGTTTGAGAGCAGCCTGGGCAACTTGGTGAGACCTCATCTCTATAATAAATTTAAAAAAAAAATTAGCTGAGTGTGGTGGCACACACCTGTAGTTCCAGCTACCTGAATGGCTTAGGCAGAAGGATTGCCTGAGCCCACCAGGCCGAGTCTGCTGTGGTCATGAGCGTGCCACTGCACTCCAGCCTAGGTGATAAAGTGAGACTCCAACTCAAAAAATAAAAAAATAAAAAAATAAAGATGTACACAAATGCATTTTAAACGATAAAATGAAAGAAATTCAGAAATGAGACTTCAAAACTTTGGACTATATATTAACATAATTAAAATGATTCTTTTTTGTAATAAGTATATACTTAACAATTTTAAATGTTAACTGGGTTACATTAAGCTATTTACTGTCCCATTATATTTTCTTCCAAACAGTCATCATTCCACCTGTGTATCTTTGGGTTACCTGCTCCATCTCCTTTCTTTCCAAGCCCATTACAAACTCACTGCTAAAACACTCACATTCACTAGGGCAGATCCATAGTTCAAGAAAACCTATGAGTCCTCCTATATTGTATTTACGTGGACAAACCACCTGCCTGAGGAACTGATTCCTGAATATTGGATTTTCTTAAAATCTATCATACTTTTATATTTTCTAAACAGTCATCTTTTCGCCGGGCTTGGTGGCTCAGCCTATGATCCCAACACTTTGGGAGGCTGAGGAGAGAGGACTGCCTGAGCCCACAGGTTCGAGATGCACCTGGGCAACTTGGCGAGACCTCGTCTCTACAATAAATAAAAAATCAGCCGGATGTGGTAGCGCGTACCTGTAGTTCCAGTTACTTGGAAGGCTGAGGTGTAAGGCTCGCAGGAGCCCAGCAGGTCGAGGCTGTGGTGGCTGGGAGCGTGCCACTGCCCTCCAGTCTGGGTAACAGAGTGAGATTCCAACTCAAAAAAATAAAAAATACAAAAAATAAATAAAAAGTCATCTTTTCAAATTATCTTAAAGTGAGAATTTATTTTCAAAATCCATTCTGGATCCTAAAAAGAATGGCTTCACGTACATAAGAAATGACTCCATCTGGGAAGCAAAACAGAGATCATTGCCTAAGCAAGGGATAATGGGTGTAATGGGTCAGAAAACTGTACGTGAAAGGAACAGACCACAGGGTCAGAGAGAAACATTTCCAGTTCTCCTTTTCAGTTTATACTGTAGCTCAGATATTTACTCCCTTAGGTTAAGAATGACACAGAGCTCTTCTCTTCCCCAAATATATTATTTTACAAATAGGCTTTTGAGTAAAATTTCAAAAAGATTTGTTAGTGGCCTGTTTAGTGGTCTTATTTTTATGTGCTTCTTTCTCTATAATGGTAACCTCAGTGAGCAACAGTTCAAATAGTTATTAATAAATGCACGGTTCCCTCACATTTATATACAAGGAACACTAGCCATTTCTCATATCTAAAGTATGTATTTTAACAGATTATTAGATGTCCCTTAGGGATAAAAAGTCCAGCATTCCTGACTATATGAGTTTCCTGCTTGAGGAAGCTCCTTAAATAAAAGAGGACATATACACTTTCTCTTTTTTTTTTTTTTTTTTTTGAGACAGGGTCTCACTTCACCCAGTCTGGAGTGCAGTGGTGTGATTATAGCTCATTGCAACCTCAAACTCCTAGCCTCAAGAAATCTTCCTACCTTAGACTCCCAAGCAGCTGGGACTACAGGCACATGCCACCATATCTAACTAAATTTTTATTTTTATTTATTTTTATTTTATTTATTGTAGAGATGAGGTCTCACCAAGTTGCCCAGGCGGGTCTCGAACCCGCGGGCTCAGGCAATTCACTCACCTCAGCCTCCCAAAGGCGCAGGATTACAGGCTGAGCCACCAAGCCTGGTAATTTTTATTTTCTATAGAGATGAGGTCTTGTTATGTTTCCCAGGCAGGTCTCAAATTCCTGGCCTCAGCAATCATGCTTCCATCTCAGCCTCTCAAAGTGTAGAAATTATTGGCATAAGCCTGCGCTGGCTACACCTTTCAATGACAACATTTTGTAATTTTTCTTAACCATGTAAACAAATTTTTGAATAAAAATGAATGTTCACAAGATCCTGAATTTAAAATACAATAGACAAATATTTACACTCCCACATTACATTTTTCCTAAAAGACACATGAGTGTACATGCAAAACTCTTCAATAAAAAAGGACTGACGCTAGCCACAAAAACATTAAGTTGTGACATCTCTATTACCAAGGTTATTTCCTATCAGTATCCATTTTGTGGAATAACAGAAAAATAGAAATGGCAAAAACAAAGCAAGATTACTGATGTCTCTAAGCTCATGCAAAAATACCTGATTTTCAAAACAGCTTTATGGACATGAATATATTTCCCATCAATTTGAAACTTCAGATCAGCAGTTTCTGGACTATCAAATTCTTTCTTCAGTGACTCTGCGACTGTTAAAAAGTCTTCATGCTCTGAAGGCAACACACACACTATTAATACAGAAAGATCAGGGAACAGATTCAAGACTTCTAAAAGATCATCATGAGCATCGTGGATAGTCTGGGTATTTTTTTCAAGAGAGTTCAAGCCTTATTTGACAAATCAACTTCACAGTATTAAAATAAGTAGCCTTTGCAGCAGCTTGGACGGATTTAGAGTCTATCATACTCGATGATCTATCACAGAAACAAAGAGCAGAGTACCACATGTTCTCAATCATAAACGGACCCCTGAACATTTACCATAAGACTATAAGAAAAGGATTGGGGCTGGGCTCAGTGGCTCGACCTGTAATCCCATACTTTGGGAGGCTGTGGCAAGTGGATTGTCTGAGCCTGCGGGTTCAAGACCAGCCTGGGCAACTTGGTAAGACCTCACCTCTACAATAAATTTTTTTAAAAATTAGCCAGGTGCAGTAGCACAAACCTGTAGTTCCGGTTACTTGGAAAGCTGAAGTGGAAGGATCACTAGACCCTAGCAGGTCATCGCTGGGGTGGTCATGAATATGCCACTACACTCCAGCCTGGACAACAGAGTGAGACTCCAACTCAAAAAAAAAAAAAAGAAAGGGATTGACAGTAGTGGGATACTACTTGGGGTGGGAGGGTGAGAGTTGCGCACAATATCAATAAGGGTAGCTGATCTCAAACCAGGCAAAGTGGGGACCAAAGGAAGGCCCAAACTTTACCTGTTCGATGACCACCTATATACTTAATCCTGAACTGTACGCCACATCTTGAAAATAAAATTTTTTTTAAAAATACCCAAAAAAACCCTACAAGTATTTAGAAAGGCCACATATCAATCTTACATGCTTAGCTAGAAATGTGCATGTTTAAAAAAGAAAAAGTTATACATAGTCCATGATGACATAGCTACACTCTCAAAACTTGAACAGTTCTTTTCTAAGACTACAAATTTATCAACTTTCCTTGACTGAAACACTGAGAACATCTCTTATCTCTGCTTTGGGCTAGTTTCCAGGGCATAGCTAACTCGAGGAGGCCCAGGAATCAAGCTTACCACTTATGTGGCAAAACTAAGCAGTCACATTCTGAGCAGAGAAGCTCTTTTCCCTAGGTATCTGGAATCTAAACATTCCTCACAACCATTAAAAAAAAAAAAATCAATGTACAAAATAATTCTTACACACTATCTAAAAACCGAGCAAATTTACTTAGTAACCCTGTACAGGCAAAGGGAGCAATTTTACAAGAACATGTGAACACCTTACCTGACAGAGAATTGCTGTTATGATCAGATGGAATTAGAACTGTGTACAAATTCCTGCAATACTTCCTTGTGTTCCTACTTCATATGTATGAAAGAAGAGAAAAAAGTAGAAGGCAAATGGAGAAATAAAAAAATTCCAGAGCTCCTCGCTGGGCAGTGAATCAAGCTTCTCTGGACAAAGGAGATAGGTTTCAACTATCCAAAAGCAAAGAACGGTGACTGAATCAAAGAGCTCAGCTTCCAAGCCTGGGATGGACCCGTGTCACTCAGGAGCTTAGAGTTACCAAGGCAAATCCTAGAAGGGACAATGGCTAAAACCTAGGCTGAAACTTAAGAAGTGAGCTTATTCACAAACTTTATCATCAGACTCTCCCAAGGAAATGTCATGTCCCTAAGCCCTGTGACCTTGACATATAGCCCTCCCTCCACCCACGTGCTGCAGAGCTCTCCTGGCTATGGAGGAAAGGTGGAAAATCTCTTAAAAGTAAGGCTTTCCCTGACCCAGTAACCTGGATCACAGGTGGGTGAGGGGAAATGACTGAGAGGGACAAAGAGTACGGTGTCTACAATGCTACCTCATCCATCCATCCATCCATCTCATCAGTGCCTCAGTTTCTCTGTCTAGTCTCAGGATGAAATAACCCTTTTCCCTTTTTGTTTCTGTATAATTAATTCCTGTTCCTCAGAGGGGTGAATTCATCATCTGAATTTCTTTTTTTTTTTTTTGAGTTGGAGTCTCACTCTGTCGCCCAGACTGCAGCCTCGACCTGCTGGGCTCCGGCGATCCTTCTGCCTCAGCCTTCCAAGTAGCTGGAACTACAGGCACGTGCTACCACACCCGGCTGATTTTTTGATTTATTGTAGAGATGAGGTCTCGCTGCCCAGGCGGGTCTCGAACCCGCGGGCTCAGGCAATCCACTCACCTCAGCCTCCCAAAGGCGCGGGATTACAGGCTGAGCCACCGAGCCCGGCTCATCATCTGAATTTCTAACACACAGCTGAGATCATAAACTGAGAGGAAAAAAATGCTTTTAGTGGGCAGAAGGGAAAGAAGTTATCTAGGAGATATATTCAATGATCATATATTTTCCAAACTTAACATTAAAAATGTTAGGACAAGCCAGGCTCGGTGGCTCAGCCTGTAATCCCGCGCCTTTGGGAGAGGTGAGTGGATTGCCTGAGCCCGCGGGTTTGAGACCCGCCTGGGCAGGCGAGACCTCCTCTCTACAATAAATCAAAAAATCAGCCGGGCGTGGTAGCGCATGCCTGTAATTCCAGCTACTGGGAAGGCTGAGGCGGAAGGATCGCCAGAGCCCAGCAGGTCGAGGCTGCAGTGGCCATTAGCGGTCACTGCACTCCAGTCTGGGCGACAGAGTGAGACTCCAACTCAAAAAAAAAAAAATGTTAGGACACTTGTTCTGAAAAGAATGTCTGTGCCATTTTAAGATGCAAGAGCCTGGGAAGCCTCTAACAAACAGATCCAGGTAAAGCAGTATCGCTAAATCTGAAGATGTGCACAGAAGGGCTTAGCTGTGCACACTACATATACGCCCAAATAGTACCATTCGGTAAACTAAATTTTTTTCTAATCATAATATTCACCACACACAAAATATCATTGTATAGTGAAAGAATCTGGCAAAATGAATTTAAAAGAAATATTGAGTGTGTTTCACTTTAAGCAGCATGCTTAACTCTTCCTAAACACACTCTTGCCCCCAAGACCATGACTGGTCACCAAATGATGGGACAACTCCAGATGTCTGATACCCCCCAAGCATGACATGTATCAGAAGACTAACCTAAGCCAGACGCTGTGGCATGCACCTGCAGTCCCAGCTACTCAGGAAGTTGCAGCAGGACCACTGGAGCCTAGGAGTTCAAGGCTTCAGTGAACCCATGAATAGCCACTGCTCCATCCTGGACAACAGTGAGATCTCACCTATTAAAATCTTCAATATCAACTGTGAGCAACTCAAACACCTTAGTTATCAAGAATATTAAATCTCAAGCACAGAGCATCACGACTCAAAGTCTCCATTTACAAACAAAAGAACAGCTTAGAAGAAATACACCGCCAAAACACATAAATGAACAAGAAATAAAAGAGATTCAAATCACCTTGTAAATGGCTACTCAGTTGAAGATATCTCAATATCTTCAACCAATAATGCATTCTTAAGAAGATATTTAGAAAAGGTACAAACCACGTAACCAAATATCACCCTGAATTCCACCAACCTTTATAACCTTCAAGAAACAGAAGAATTTGAAATTGGTTGAAAGACAAAGGCAGAGAGAAATTAGGTGAAATTAACTGATCACCTAAAAAACCCACAAGTCAAGCTCGTCACTGTTTTTAAAACAGTGAATACCTCAGAAAACAACAGCCCAGGTTAGTATTATATTATGCAATAAGTTTAGAATGACAAAACACTTAAGAACAGATTACTCAAACAAATACTAATACGTCATAGCAGCATTCTTCACAATGGTCAAAAGGTGAAAACAACTCAAGTGTTCATCAACAGATCAATGGACAAACAAAATGTGATGTGCATAAGTGTGTGCTTGCGTATAAAATGAACACTGTCCAGTCACAAAAGGGCATGAAGTACTGATACGTGCTACAACATGGGTGGGCCTCCAAAACGTTACATAAAAGAAAGCAACACAAAAGGTTACATACTATATGCTTCCAATTATATGAAATATCCAGAAGAGGTAAAGCCATGGGAACGAAAAACAGCTTGGTGGTTGCCAGGGGCTGGAGGGAAGGAAGAGTAGGGTATGACTGCTTAATGAGTATGGAGTTCTCTTTCAGGATGATGAAAACATTTGGGAACTTGATATAAGTGGTGGATGCACAACACAATGAATGGACTACAAGTCACTGATTCATGCACTTTAAAATGATTAATTTTACATTATGTGAATTTGGTATCAACTAAAATAAAAGCACTAAAGGAGAAAAATAGTAAATCTATGGCAATATTTGATAACAAATACATCTGCTTATGCAAATCCAATTTGGGGAAAAATATTAAAGCTAATACAGAATAAAACAGCCTGGGCTCAGTGCTCAGCCTGTAATCCCAGTACTTTGGGAGGCTGAGGCGAGTGGACTGCCTGAGCCTGCGGGTTTGAGACCAGCCTGGACAACTTGGTGAGACCTCATCTCTACAAGAAATAAATTTTTTAAAAAGAGAGAGAGAGAATAAAACACTCTAGAACCTAAAAGAGCCCACAATCAGCAAATATGCGGGAAAACTGGTCAATTGGTCACAGCCCAGAGCTTTCTTTTTCCTTTCTTTTCTTTTTTTTTCCAAGTTGGAGTCTCACCCTGTCACCCAGGCTGGAGTACAATGGCATGCTCATGGCATGATCTGCTGAGCTCAGGTGATCTTTCCACCTCAGCCTTCCAAGTAGCTAGAACCACAGGCTTGTGCCACCATGCCTGGCTAACTTTTTAATTTACTGTAAAGACAGAGGTCTCGTCATGCTGCTCAGGCTGGTCTCAGACCTCTGAGCTCAGGTAATCCTTTCGCCTCTGCCTCCCAAAGTGCTGAGATTACAGGTGTGAGCCACCACCACGACTTAGCCCAGAGCTTTCTTACCCACAGAGAGGAGGCGCCACGAGACAGCAGGGGTGGCGAAGCAGGCGAACACATCGTCCGTGCAGGAAAAGTGGGTGAGATGAGGGAGGATCACCGACTGGCCTCGGCACTGGCCCCACATATACACATGCCCACCTTGGGTCTTGGCAGCAGACGTATGGGCAGAGTGACAGGCTGCGATCTCCACTACCCTGCAAAGTTTTTTTTAAAAGATGCATGTTACATCATTATCACAGACGCTCACGGCACACCATACGCAAGGATACTAAAAAGTTCATGCTTGGAATACCTCAGAAAACAACAGCCCACAATCCAGAGGCATTAGCTGTCAAGTCATTACATCAACAAAACTTAAAGATCGGGGCCAGAGCATGTACTTCTAGCTTCCTACCTGCCCACTTCTCTTCCAAGCTCACGTGAGTGAGGATAAGTCATACGTACTGCTGAGTGAAAGACTAGAAACCGAAGCAAGTGAGAAAAGCGGACATTGACAAGATATTTGACAAGTCTTGGGACTTAAACAGTAGAAAAAATACTGTCTTCAAGATACCATTTCCTTATAAATACAACTTTTTCTCTCATTTCCTATCAGAGCTCAGAATACTCATTAGATTGGAAAGTACTTGTTGAGGGGCCATGGATTCTGAGCATTCCAATCCAAGCGCATATCACCCAAACTTACTACATTTCTCAGCAGCATGCTTCTTAGGCAGGGTCCTGGAATTAGAAGTCAATACCTCCAAGACTCAGTGGGCAAGACCTCACAATTTGACTGACCAAACATTAAGCATTTATTCCAGTAACATACATTATATCAAATCAATATTTAAACAGCCAATGTCTTTTCAAGAGCAGGATTATTTAAAAGTTGACTCCAAGGGAAAGTTCATATACACCATGGATCTCAATGCGGCCACAGACTCCATTTGTCCTCCCTACTAGAAGGGTAACGGCAGGAGGTCTGGAGGAACTACACCAAGATGCATTCATGCCTATCAGTCACCGGTGGTTTTCTCAGAATGCTGCCTAAGACAGTGTCAACTTCGTGTTTGTTCTGGCTGCTACTAAAAACTCTTGTGTTTAAGATGAGAATGTTAACAAACAGAAGAGTCACGAAGACAAACACCACAGCTCTGCCACACACAGTCCCAAGGCTACAACACACACACAGTCTGAGACAAGGCACAGCCAAGTTACCTTTCTTTCTCCACCATGATGTGTGCTGGGCTTAGCAGGTTATTTTTATTGCCAGTTCCCAGCTGCCCATATGTGTTAGCTCCCCAGGCATAGAGCAAGCCCTCATCTGTTAGTGCTAGGGTATGTGCATAGCCGCAGACAATCTGCAAGTAAATTTAAATGATTACCATTAACAGGAAAACAGGAAAGGCAGGGAAAACATCTACTTAATGCTACAGCCAGCCTCTGCAGAATGCCACTTATCATCAAGGCGTGGACTGACATTTGCTGGAACATTAAAGCAACACAAGAAAAGTCTAAACCTTGGGCTACTGAATTTTTCCATTATTATTTTTTTAAGTTGTCAAGACTAACGTGCCAATACCATGGTCTTTTTTCTCCTCATGAAAATTTTGGGTAAATATAATATTCAGTGTAGAAGATAAAGGCACAGGGTGTTGGCAGAAAAGATCAATTAAAGAATAAACCTCTAATATTTCTCCAAGTCGGAGCAGGGAAGGTGGATGGGGACCAGCTAGTGGAGAGGTCTCCACACATACCTGGTTCACACACACACTGTGCAAAGCTGCCACTCTCACAGGCGTCAGCTGGTTGCCATTATTGCCCAAGCCCAGCTGACCATTGCCGTTGTAACCCCAGCCATATACCTTAGAAAGGAGAGAAAGGGAGAGAACAGGTTTTGTATTTATTTTTTGAGTAGGAGTCAAACTCTATTGCCCAGGCCGGAGTGCAGTGGCACGTTCATGAACACTGCAGCCTCAACCTGCTGGGCTCAGATAATCCTTCCGCCTCAGCCTTCCAAGTAGCTGGACCCATAAGCACATGCCACCACATCCAGCTAATTTTTTGATTTACTGTAGAGACGAGGTCTCACCAAGTTGCCCAGGCTGGTCTCAAACCCCTGGACTCAGGTAATCCTCACACCTCTGCCTCCCAAAATGCTGGAATTCCAGGTATGAGCCACCATGCCTGGCTAGAGAATGGCTTTTTTAAACAGCTAGTAAGAATGAAGAGATAAAAACCAAGCCTATCTAAACACATCATATACTTCCAACACCCACCTTCTACTTCCTCTGCTCCTACAACTGGTCTCCAAACAGAAGATACGAAGGGGTGGGGATGACAGACTTTAGCATCAGTTCCTGCCCCATGACTTAGGAGTTAGCCCGGGACACCCAGACAAGTCACTCTTTCCTGTTTTATACATGAGGAAGTTGAGGCTAACAATTTTTAAGCACCTGTCAGGACACTGTGAAAGGTACTAGGAGTAAGTTTTTGGTCATTATTTAACAGAGCAGATAAGACATACGCAAATTTTTTTGCAGACAGGTGTAGCAAGTGCTAAAACAGAGATAGGCTTAAAGCACTGTAAAAGCAGCAAGGAGAAAGGCTTTAGCTTCAGGAAGAAAGTTTAGGGAAGACGCTTCCGATAGCACAGATCTAAGCAGGGCTGAAGGACGAATGAGGGTAAGGCTGTGTCCAGATGTGTTAGGGCAAGCAGGCGGGCCTGGCTGGATACATCCAGGTAGCAGTAGGGGGAAAACTAGAAGGAAAGAGCCAGGAGATAAAAATGACAAAAAACACACTAGGGAAAGTGCAATATGTCCACAAATTTTCCACTGAAATATTTCAAAATGGATTAATTTAACTTGGGTTTTTTTTGTTGTTTTTTGGGGTTTTTTTCTTTTCTTTTCTTTTTTTTTGTAGTTGGAGTCTCACTCCGTCGGCCAGACTGCAGTGCAGCGGCCACTCCCGGCCACCGCAGCCTCGACCTGCTGGGCTCTGGCGATCCTTCCACCTCAGCCTTCCAAGTAGCCGGAATTATAGGCATGCGCTACCATGCCCGGCTGATTTTTTGATTTATTGTAGAGATGAGGTCTCGCTGCCCAGGCGGGTCTCGAACCCACGGGCTCAGGCAATCGACTCACCTCAGCCTCCCAAAGGCGCGGGATTACAGGCTGAGCCGCCAAGCCCGGCTTTGTTTTTTTTGAGCCAGGATACCCCTCTGTCTCCCAGCCTGAAGTGCAGTAGCCTGATCACAGCTCACCACAGCCTTAACCTCCGGGGCTCAGGCAATCCTTCTGCCTCAGCCTCCTGAGTAGCTGGGACTACAGGAACACACCACCACATCCAGATAATTTTTTGATGTTCTATAGAGACAAGTGCTTGCCATGTTGCTTAGGCTGATCTCGAACTTCTGGGCTCAAACAATTCTCCCACTTCAGTCTCCAAAAGTGCTGGGATTACAGGCAAGAGCCATGATGCCTGGCTATACCTTGCATTTTTGAAAGATCACACTGGCCACAACATGAAGGGTGACAGGTAGATATATGACTAGAAGAGGGAAGACCATTTAGCAGGTTATCTTGTCTCATTTCAGCAAATAGGTGAGCTCTGATGAGGTTCCAAACTAAGGAGTGACAGTGAGACCAAGAGAGGCAAAGAAGAGGAATTCTGAAGTCAACTTGGATGAGTCCAGGATTGATGAAAAATGAGTTCACACAGGTAAGCATTCAGTAAATTCTAAAGCATCCTAGAACCCAAACGCATGATGGCATATGACTGTGTACAAAGAAATCTCTTGGTACAATTTTCATGTACTAAAATGTGCATAAGTAGTAACTGGGTCACTTAAGGAAGTTGAAACCAGAAATAATTTCTTAGAAGTAACCGTTATGGCAGGGCTTAGTGGCTCAGTCTGTAATCCCGGCAGTGTGGGAGGCCGAGACGAGTGGATTGCCTGAGCCTGCAGGTTCAAGACCCACCTGGGAAACTTGGTGAGACCTCGTCTCTACAATAAATCAAAAATTAGCCAGGCATGGTAGCACACACCTGTAGTGGTGGCCAGGAGCATGACACTGCACTCCAGTCTGGGACAGTGTGACTCCAACTCAAAAAAAATAAAATAAGTAACCGTTAGCTCAAAGGTGCCCATAGTAGAGTGTAACTGAAAGGTAAGTTTTTATAAATAGCTAATAACAATCAGGTCAAAAAATATATATGTTTTTATAAGTTACGTCCACCGGCGAACAAACATTCAAGATGTAGGCAGGTAGTTCTACAAGGACTTCTTCAGCAAACTTTAAAGAAATGTATAGCTAGGCCAGGCACAGTAGCTAATGCCTGCAATCCTAGCACTTTGAGAGGCCAAGGTGGGAGGATCGCTAGAGGCCAGGAGTTCGAGACCAGACTGGGTAATATAGCAAGACCTCGTCTCTACCCACTCGCCGCCCCCCCCCCCCAAATTAGAATGATAGGGCATGGCTATTGTTCCAGCTACTCAGGAAGCTGAGGATGAAGGATCCCCTGAGACCGGGAGGTAGAGGCTGTGGCGAGCCATGACGGCAATCCAGCCTGAATGACAAAATGAGACCCTGACTCAAAAAACAAACAAACAAAAAACCTCACAACTTACTTTTTCATAGGAAGAGAAAAGCAGTTTCAAATTATTTAATCCTTTACATTAAATATCACAAACAAATACCTATAATCATTAGGCTATTTGGATCTTATAAAAAACAATATTTAGACATTCTAGAACTTTTACTCGGAAATTTTTTTTTTTTTTTTGAGTTGGAGTCTCACTCTGTCACCCAGACTGGAGTGCAG